TTTTTTTGTATTTTGAAGATAAGAAAATGTTGAGTACATTATATTTGGGTTTTTCGACGTTCCATAACTTTAGCGTTCAACTTCTTAACTTTAACAACTATTATAAATGTTACATGGGTACAGGAAGTTATAATTATAGGCGTAATTTCCTCCTTCATAACATCCTAGAATAATTAAATAAATAATGACAGTGTAGTAAACATGAGACGGACATATTAGTCTAGTACAGGAAATCTATTATATATACCACAATCGGGTTACATTATTTAATAAAAAGTACGTAGAACGTTTTTGTAATTGTGATGAAATATTCAAAAGTAAATTAAACAAATATTTCCGTTGAATAGATTTGTACAATGACTATAATGTTGGAATGTCGTCTAATTAGCATGTATAGCTGACGTCCGAGTGCGAGCGCACCGCCGCCGCACGCACAAGCTCAGTGCGCACGCACTCGCCAACTCGCCGTCCCCACTATACGCCGGCCGTGGCCGCACTCCGCACTCCGCACCCGCCATTGGCTGAGTACAGCCCTACAACGGTGCGTTGGTGGACTAACTTCAGAACTATTTTAATAGGAAACTGGTTTCCTTTTCTCGGCACAACTGTATCGTGGTAACATCGCGCAATCCTTTTATTACGTATCATTATAACGTTATTTTTTTTTAATAAAAGTTTGTTGTATCTTAATTTTAGTAATTATTCAGGAACTCATAATAATTACGTTGATAAATTAAGTTGAAAACACCAAAAACTATAGGTACTCTGCGCCCAAAACCTTACAATGCTGAGATGTAGCCGAGACCACGTTAGTTGCGCCGCGCTCGACAGTCAGCTGCTTGCGCTTGTCTTGCAGTGTGTCGCTCAGCGGCCGCGGCAGGCATCAGTGCACGGACAAAGTCACGGCCGCCGCGCTGCTGTCGGCCAACACGGGCCGGTTGTTGCATCGCCCGGCAATAAATGTGTGCTAATTAGCTGCGAGCGTCCGGCGCGGCGGTGGCGCGGGCGTCGATTTGCGCTTACATCAGCGGAAACGCGACCAGAATTGCCTTATTAGCGGCACGGGGGGAGGCTCGGGGGAGGACAGACTAGAACTAATCTGCCTCATTGATACCTCGCTCGTCGCCAGTAGTTAGAAATCGTCGCAGTGCTAAAATAAAATCTTAGAATCGAAATGCATATTTTGAAATCAATTATTTTAGTACCAATGAGTCAGGGCGATTAGTCAGAACTTAAATCGTAAAGCTTCTATAACACAACTAGTGGAAACGTATACTATTACATTCTATGATGGCTTATATAACATCCATCTTATATTAGCTGCCCTGGATTTCATAATTAGAAGATGCACAATTTTCCCTTTCTAGTTGTCCTATGTCCCCGAAGTAAGAAGAACAGGATCAGCAAGCGGTGTTGCTGTACTGTCACGACCTCACGAAAAAATAAACACAAGTGGGTAACATTATTATTATATAAATAAGCAAACATTGCGCAACATTATCTCTATTTCGATTTCAGTTTCTTGTATTGGTAGAAATATTGAGAAAAAGTCTCCTTTCAAGTGTTCTAAACAAATACAAGGTCAGTGCAACAATGGACATTCATTTACGTTTGCATTTGAAAGATATCTTTGTGGCCGAGGACGTCGCACTGCTCTTTGCTCAGATGACTTTGTTGTTATTATTACATCATGAAGTGAAATTAAATCTGGTAAAGTTAAAACACAACAAACGAGATAATATGCACTTATATGTAAATCTTTAGAAATTACGAAATAAAATAAATCGACTATTAAATAAATTTCACTTTCACACGGCAATTCTATAGAAATGCCGTGTGAAAGTGCAAGTTTTGCCACTCCGTTTTACAAGTAGAGTAGAAAAGTTGATAGTTAATAGTAGATAATGATACTGACCCTAGCATCGTAGACCCCGGTGAGCGCGTCGTACCGTATGGAGCCGAGAAAGATGACGGCGCAAGCGGCAGCGCCTCGCCCGCGCGCTACCAGCTCCACGCATACCATCTCGCCGTCCCGCACCACCATGTCGCAGAATACCTGTACACAACACACACAGTAGAGGCAGTTTACTTTACCACAACAACAATTACTATTCTCTGTATCTCAAAGTCAACCCAACAATCCTTCAAATGAACAAAATGGAAACATAATTACACATCTCGGGGATTTTCCTAGTTGTAAAGTGTGCGATGAGCCGCGCCGATACGGCAGGCAAAAGAAAAATATTCGCTAGCAGCTCGCGTCGTTAGCAAACAAGCGTGACTCACTCAGCGACAAACTGACAAGCCGCGATTTACCTACTCTTATTTATTTAAGACCGAACGAATATCCTTATATTGTTCCAACAATCGTACATTTTATCTTAAGAAGTAAAGTGCACGTCATAAAATACACTTAGAGTATTTCATACTTTGAGACGAACGTTTTACACTTGAAAGTACTCAATAAGTTACGAAGTATTTAGTGGTGTTGGTTATTATAAAATAATCTGCACATATTTATAAATGCGAGTGTCATACAAAATGTGAACCGTACGGCCCTAGTGGCGAAGTTTGGCTCTGAGTGGAAATAGGCAGTTGTTGTCGGTGGAGTACGGACCAAGGAGCGCACTCCCACAACAAGACGTGCAGCATGTGCCACATGACACGAGAAACAAATATACAATGACAAGGCGGTGACAAGACGGACCGACTGTCACTTTTCACCCCTCCTCCCCTTCAGCCCGCGGTCTCCGGCACTGTCGAGACGTAGGTCTCAGACAATAAAGGTTTGTTCTCAGATACCTCAGATCGCTTATCTTTGTTTTAACTTAACAAACGAGTTACGTACACAAGCCATAATGAATCCTAAATATGTGCATCATTGTTGTGCAGTATGTACACTGCACAAAAAAAACAAAAAGAATGAGATTATTGTCACGTCAGAGTATAATACGAGTGACTGGTATTCAGATACAATAGTCTTCGCAGAAGTATCTGCATCACGTTGGCACGCGGCGTGATAAGCCGACACGTCATCGACAAATATAGTGGAACCCGCCGTCACACGTCACGTCACCGTGACTCACCGGCCAACAGATTGACTGTTTATGTCGACCTTTGAAAATAACGCAAATAAAGAGTTGAAACTATCAACAAAAATTATGGGCCTAGCTGACGCACTATGTTAACTTAATCTACCATTCCGACAGTATGTAGAAAATGCTAAGCAAAATAAATTTAATCATATTTCCTTTAGTTGCATTGGTTGTTGTTGCAAGTGGCAGCTGCTGCCGGCACAGCGTCGCGCGGCATCCTTGTACCTGCATATTACATTCAAAACTAAACAGTTAAATAGGTTTTGGCACGATTCGCCTACAAATATTTCCTTATTACACAGACTCGGTTACCTTGCTAATACATTATCTTACGTACAATTAAGTAAAATATAATACGCTGTCAGATTTCGTTATCACTTGGTGCAGGCGATAAAAATCTTTGAAATTAAATTTACATTAATGTTACTTGTATTGATACTGTATCTATATGATGGTATAATTATACTGGCTGATGTCATAAAAAAGATAACATTAAATTATATATACTTAACTATTATTTTATTCATCTTTAATGTGCTTGTACGATTTTAATATAAGGAATGGTACTTAAAATCTCAGAATGCGTCATTCAGCAAAATATTAAGCGATTTCCTCGAAAGTGGAACAGGTAGTGACAATACATACAACTTGCTAAATACTGATCTTATTTTTTGTCGTTATCTCTTCTATTTTAAAGTATCCTGCTAATGATGGCCTTCTTTAAAGTAATTTTCCGATAACACAACATCAACTTTTTACTTTAGTCTCACTAAATTCCACTCCACCGCATGATGGAAATGTTAGGTCTCAGAAAGACTGAACCCCTACCGCTTGTACAGACAGTATAGGTTCGATTTCATTCGAATCGGTTTGATTTGTTTGCGTCCAGTCAAGAAATGTGTCCTTAGCGGACATCGCTCAATCCTACCTGTCACCCTACAATCAAGGTGTTCCTAAATTACATGCACAAAACAAATAAACTTTCTACGAGCAACAAAATCACACTTTATCAACTAAAGAGTCCGATAGCTCGCAATTCATTCGCGCGTCAAAAAGGTTTAGTGCGATATCGATTACTTATCGATAACATGATAAAAAATGTTTTTTGAATACAATCAAGTTTGCAAAATTCCTGTCAAAAGAATCGTACAAACAATGAGCAGAATAGTGTCGTTTGTTGTAACTCTGGGCTGCCTGCTGCGACAGACGGGAGGGAGGGGCACCGCCCTGTCGCGGCCATTGATAGAGAAATAACAGTTATTTGATACCTATCCGCTTATATAAATAAACAGCAAAAATCCTATCATATCTGCTTAAGATAACAGAATTTCACTTCATATATGCCAATAAAATGAAAGTACGCAGTTAAACATTTAAATCAGACTTTTAAACTAGTTTT